TGTAGGCTCCAGCTCCAGTAGAGGGCGTGCAGGAGGCAGCTGATCAATGATTCTCTCTCATCATTGATGTTACTCTCTCTTTCTCTCTCTTCCTCTCTAAAATCAATCAAAATATTAAAAAAAACAACAACAACAACAACACGAGGACAGATATACAACTACCAGCGTTCTTTTTTAAAGATGTGCCATCATTATAATCCTCCTGGCTAAAATTGTTCACTTGAGGTTTAGTTCAAGACTTTTTTTTTTTTTTTTGCCATGCAGTTTAGCTTTATAGTCAGTTCTTTTCATATAGACATAATATGCATTATTCTCTTGCATCACCTATCATAAAGATTTTGGTGACAAAATAATATCAAAAGGGAATTTAAAGATTTCTAGAGAATAAATCAGAATTGAAAAAAACATACAAACACCAAACAGATTATCCTATTGCCTCAATTCTCAAACATACATTTTTAAACTTTCAAAATTAAAATGTTTTAAAATCCCTGCAATAAGACATCTGTCAGCTACCAGGCAGAGATATCACATGTTAATTATTTCCTTATCACTTCAATGAGTTACCCACATTTAGAAATACTCTAAATTGAATTTTAACTTAAATTTGAAATCTACAATCACTTCAAGATTACACTACAACTCAGGAAAAATAAAAATTAACTGTATATAGAGAGGATGGCTTGTCACATGCCAGGCAATGTAATTAAAGGCAGTAGAAACTGCCAAATCTCTCAGAATAGATCAGAAATTGTTCACAATCTAGAAAAGGCTGTGGTGAGCAATTTATATATCAATATCTTTCATCTTTCTGACACCTAAAAGCTCTGACTAATGGCCAAGAGAAGGTGCTTAACTTCTAAGGATATGTAAGTAAATTAAGAGAAAAAATAAAATTACATGTTTAACAAATAGGAAGTGCACTCAAAATCAAGAAAGTCTTCGATATGCTTCACCAACATTATCAATTCTAAAGGTGAAAAGGTAAAAACATGATGCTTTGTTTAACTACCATTGGCTAAAAGTGATTCAGAAAAATCTTAATAGTCAATATAAAAAAAAGCTTATTTATACTTAAACTTTAATTCTATGCTAAAGAGAAAAGATATACCAAATATAAAAAGTTCAATAAATCTGTGTACATTTAACATAATGGATCTTTTTACCCATCCCAAAAAAATTTACTAAACATACACTGAATCACAATCACTTGGCATATTTATTTATTTATTTTTAAATAAGTATTTATTTATTTATTTATTTATTTTTATATTTTATTGATTTTCTACAGAGAGGAAGGGAGAGAGATAGAGAGTCAGAAACATCGATGGGAGAGAAACATCGATCAGCTGCCTCCTGCACATCCCCCACTGGGGTTGTGCCCGCAACCCAGGTACATGCCCCCGACTGGAATCGAACCTGGGACCTTTCAGTCCAGAGGCCGACGCTCTAGCCACTGAGCCAAACCGGTCTCGGCCACTTGGCATATTTAAACACAGTATATACATGATTTAACTTAAATTTCAAGAGATTTGTTTGGATCCAAATTCAGTAGACCTCAAAATAATTGATGGCTCAAAAAAAGCAATTCATATTCAACCAACATTTTTACCACAAAAGAAAAAGCTCTATTTTTCCTTGTTCCTATTCAATTCAATAAAGAAGGAAGAATTTAAAAACTAGAGTTTCACTGAAAGAAGATGTTTAAGATTTTCACTTATTTAACACACACTTAGTATGTACTGTTTCAGGGACTACTCTAAGCACTTTATAAATGATGTTATATGAAGAATGGATACAGAAGTTAGGAATGTTTACCTGAAGATAAAGGAGAACATGATAGCTCTTGTCAAATATCTAAATGACTATCAAGTGAACCAGGTAGCCCATTTAAATAAAAAAGATACAGAACAAGCAAGAGATTTGGGCTCTGAAAAACTATGAGAGCTCTCCAATGGCAAAATCTCTCTACAAGTCTACTAATAACCACTAAATGGGAAAATATATACTAAAGCACTTGGCTGTAAACTGCCACATACACATTAAAATTGACTTCTTTGCAATACAGTGGGTCCTGATCAACAGAAATATTTACAAAGAGGTTGATAATGGGCTTTGGAGTTCACTTCTCATTTTTGCAACTTATCCTACGTATGCAACTTCAGAAAACTTTCCTTTAGAATAGGGATAAAACCATTACTCTGCTTTGCAGAGTAATTGTGAGAATTAAATCTGATAATGTGTGTAAACAGTACAGTGCTGAAACACGCAATAAATTGTATCTATTATGATGACCACTATCATAATGTTGTGGAAGGAATCTCTACAGTGAACATAAAACTATGTGATATGATGTGGTATGATTGTATGGCTCTGCTATGCCCTGGTATGAGTGTATGATTCTGCTATGCACTTATCATGTTACAACAATCCAAATACAATACATAGCTTGTTTCTGTTTGGGTGACTTAAAAAGCATTTATCTTTTGTAATGTGAAAGGAAAAATATTCTAAAAATCTAAATTAAGTATCCAGGTTACTAAAAATCAAGTGTATAAATAACAAAATATAATGCGGAAATGATGCAGCTATAGAGAAAAAAGGGATTAAACAAGTAGCACATTAAATACAAACTACTCTTCCTAGAGACTTTACTGCAGGACATGAAAATACATATTGAAGCGGGGGAAACAATTACACTTTCCACAGGTATGTGAGCCACTGGTTACATTCATCAGAAATATCAACAATATAATGGTAGCTAAACACAATGCAAACATTTGGTATATCCAGGCAATTTAAAAAATGAATTTCAGTGGACTATGGACAAGAACTTAGGGGTATTTAGGATTCCTATTACTCTGAACAGAATTTGTATTTTAACAAACCAACTTCTAAATGTTGCATATTATGGAATACTAGAAGCCCGGTGCACAAAAATTTGTGCACTGGCGGGGGGTGGGGGGTGGGGGTGTCTCTAAGCCCAACCTGTGCCCTCTCACAGTCTGGGGCCCCTCGGGAGATAACCACCTGCTGGCTTAGGCCCGCTCCCCTGGTGGCAGATGGCACACCCGATCCCGCAGTGCCTGCCCTGTCTCCCCCAGTCGCACACGGCAGGCCCAGATCCCAAGCTGGGGCGGGCAGCAGCTGGGGATCACGCTGACGCCCGCACAGGGCGGTGCAGTGGGATCTGCCTGCAGTATGCAAATTTAATGGCCATCTTTGTTGGGTTAATTTGCACACTCTTCTGACTGGCTGATGAGCGTAGTGAAGGTACTGCCAATTAGCATCTTTGTCTTTTATTAGTGTAGGTGGAAGCCCAATAATCTTGCAATTCAGTACCATTTGTGATCAATCAAGAAAATCAGTTCTAACATACCATACTATCCTACTTAGCTATATTCATCTCGCTCTTTTTTGAAAAGGAATTAACTCTCAAAAGGCATCTTTTATGTTTTCAGGGATCTTTCTTTCAAAGACAATGACCATAAAGTAAAACGCAGCTACTATTAAGACCAAATAAGAGAGACTTCTTAATAACTGACTAATAACCACAAACTACAACATTTTTCCCACTAAACATTCTTTCCCAAAAAGTTAAAATACAATTACCATCAATGAACTATACTATACTTGTTGCAACAGTAGTAAAACAAATAAATTAAATGTAGGAATGAAAAACTGGGTGCAGTTTTCAGGAACTTTTGGGGGGATTTGATTTATGACAAATGACAAGTAGTGGTATTATAATATCACTAAATTCAGAATACAAGAGCAATTGTTAGAAAATTATACAACCAACAGAAATCTTACTTCACCTCAATTTCTGCCCTAATTTTAGATAAGAAGCCTAGAGTCCAATGGAATTAAGGGAGCTTATTCCACAGGCAAGTATTTCATCAATGTGTTATATTATTTTGAGCACAGAGTTCATTAGTGTGTTCTAACTGAATGTATGCAATAGTCACGGTCAGTTAAAAGCAAAGCTATCAACATTTGCCAACTACCCAGTTTAAATGGCCTATGAAATGTTGAAAATATCAGTGTTTCCATTCGTTTTCATTAATTTACTGTTAACTAGAGGTCAACTCCATCACATTGTTTTTAGAACTAAAAATATTAAAAAAAATCAGCTGATGAGTTAGGGTAAGGCAAAAAGTGGAAATAAAATCCTTGAATAACAAATGATACTACATTCTGTCATATAGGTTGTGAAGTTACCATGAAAAACCACAGTACTATTTTTAGTCACAGTCATCAAGATGAAATATTAGCAACTGCCTATCCAGAACAAGCAAAAAACTCAAAACTCTACAACAAAATTTTACCTACTCGGAAGTCGCTTTACTTGCTCTAGGTATCAGATGTCAACACATTTAAACTGTGTGGCTTTCAAAAATCAAAGCACTTTACATTCCATCTTAAATGCAAAATTCAGACACTTTGTATCAAATTTTCCTAAAAGCATTTAAAAAGCACACACACACAAAACAACAACAGAGAAACCACCACCTGGCAGGTACCCATCACAACCAGCTGCAATCCTGTTGGGATCTGTACCCAGGTGATGAAGGTAGGTGGGCAATATCCGAGTCCCACATTTAGACCCCAAGGTGGGGGATGAGAGATAAGAAAAGAAATTTAATTCCACAAACAAAGGAAGAAAGCCAGGATGGATGAGAGGCACCCTAAAACTGCTTATCATCAAGAATCCACACACACACACTGAAGGCCTGTCTCAAAGACAAACAAATCGGCTGTTCGCAGGAAACTTTGCAGTGGGGAGGAGGGGGCATGCCTTGGCACCCCCCGGAACCACCCCCTGGCCCCTGGCACGCTGTCACTGAGCCCGGCACGACTCCCGGGGACGGCGAGCCAAGGAAAGAAGGGTCTGCGGGAGGAGAGCCTGGGGCTGCAGAGACCGGGGGGTGGGGTGGGGGTGGGGGGGCGGCGCGCCCGGGGTCCGGGAAGGGAGAGGCGGAGGGGCGCGCGCTCCTCACCATGATTATCTTTCTGCCCGATATTGTGCGTGCGGATGAGCGAGGACAGCCGCCTCACGTCCCCCTTGAAGACGCACTCGTGCACCGGGTAGTGTGCGGGGGAGACGCCTCCGTCGGCGGCCACCGCCACGGGGTGGGCGCCCGTTAGCAGAGTCTGGGGCTGGGAGGCGGCGGTGACGGAGGAATTGTGCAGCAGCGGCAGGGCCGGCGCGCCGGGAGGAGCGGCGGAGGCCGGGGCGGGCTTCAGCGGCAGCCGGTGGTGATGGTTGCTGAAGATCTTGTGACAGGCTTTGCCGCCCTTGCCGCCGCCGCCGCCCCTGCCTCCGGTGAAGGTGCCGCCAAGGGCCGCCGCCGCTTCTTCATCCCCAGGCTCCAGCAGGTCCCCCTCTTCTTTGCTGGGCTTGTGGTCCCTCCGCAGCGAGCGGATCTTCTCTCCGGTCATCGCCGCCAGGGGCAGGGAGGAGGTCCGGGGCGCTCAGCGCCGGCGGCAGGAGGCGATTAGAGCGGCGGCCGGGAGCCGCCGGCGCAGCAGGAACTCCGCGAGAGCCCCCGCGCCCCGGACGGACGCATCTCCCGGGAGAAGAGGAGCCGGCCCTCGCCGGGGACGAAAGGACGCGCGCTCGCTGGGGGGAGCTAGTGTTCAGGGACCCACGGCACCGCGATCCCGGGCCCCGTCGCGGCCAACGCCACCGCGGTCTCAGCCCGAAAAACAGGGCACGGCCATCTTCCTCTGGCTTCTCTCGCGAGAGCTCCCCCGGGAAGGGGGCGGGCGGGAAAGGAAGGAAACCCCGCGATAGGTGAGCGGCGTGCTCGCGCCCCCGCGCTGTCCGCTGCCGGAGGGCGGCCGGGCGGCGGCACCTGCGGGGCCCCGCGTTCCAGCCTCGCGCGGGAGTCTCTGCGTTAGAAGACCCGTCGCTCCCGGTGGCCGCGCTTCTCGCGGAGGTTCTGCTGCGTCTTATGAACAAGGACTTGAACCCTCCGACCTCTAGGCTTCCCGGAGTGCCGGCTGACGGCACTGCACACAGGATGTGATGTCACTGAGATGCACAGGGCATTCATTCACTAAGCATCTACTTCGTGCCGCGCACTGCGCTAGTAGGTTTCTAAAATGCCACCCCTGGCGGGAAGGAGCTCAGCTGGTAGAGGAAGAAAGAGAGGCAAGCAGTTGGGTTCAGCCTTGAACTGCGCGAGGAATGAAGTGGACGCGGGGAGTTAGGTTGCTCGCGCGCACCCACGCCCCCCCAAAAGAAGCAAATTTTAGAGTTGGAGTGTCAGAAAAGTCCCTGTAGAAGGGGTTAGGGCTGACCTTGGGAAACAGGCTATTCAGCAGAAGGGGAGAGGTAGGTCACTCAAATATTTGTTGATGAATCAATCTCGGGCAGGCGTCAGTGTCTAAGTGTGGATGGTGGAGGCTGGAGGTTGGCAAATACAATTGTGTAACTGGAATCCCTGGGCTAGTTCATGGCCAATCTCGGCTCAGCGTAAAATTCTAAAAGAACTTGAAGTCTGACATCCATAAAGCCTGACGAAATAACTAAATCTATGGGAAGTGGAGTGGAGGGAAGTTAGCAAAATGTCCTAAAGGTCTTACCCGTTTATCTCTCCCAAGTCCCACCTACTCTGATAACTGCTTCTCTCAAATCTCTTCTTAATTTTTATCACCACCTCCACCCTACCACCCCTTTCTCCCAGCCGCCCCCCCCCCCGCCCGAAAAATAAATAAATAAACCTCTGTGGGAACTAGCCTCTCTTCCTCCTCCCCCAGCACTCAGAGTTACACCTCCCATCTTCTTTCAAATCTATTCAAATCAATCTCTTTCCTTCTTCTTTTTTTTTTTTAATTTTGGTGGGGGGAATGGAGGTTGTTCCAGTTATGTTCAAGCATTACCCAACCAGCACCTCAAAGAATCCTACTCAGAAAGCAAGAGCGATTGAACACGTTCATATATACAAGAACATTTTGTTCTTCCACAATAGCCAGTATTTATTGTTAACTCTAAACCAGGCAGTATGTTTCGCACTTCATGTATTATCTCCTTGTGATAAGTATCATTTTTAATCTTTGACAGTTGAGAAAACTTGTCCAGTGTCCCAATGCTAGAATGCAACACATCAAGTATGATTCCAGAGCTAGAGAAATAAGAAAGGGTTAGATCATGTAGGACTCCTTATGTCACCTTAAATGTTTCAACTTTATCCTAAAAGAAATGGATATCCTTTTAGGGATGTTAAACTGGGGAGTAGCATGATGAGATTTGTCTTTTAGAAAAGCCACTCACTCATATTTTAGAAAAGTATGTATTCAGAATAGGTTACCAGGGCCTTCTCTAGAAAGAGGGAAACAGAATAATGCGTAAATAAAAAATAATAATAATGTGTTAATATTTATAATAATAAAAAGGTAATATGCTAGTTAGACCGGACATCCTTCCAGATGAAGCTGGGGTCGGAGGGAAGCTGGTGCCGGCAGCTGGAGGAAGGAAGGCCTACTCATGCATGAATTTCATGCATCAGGCCTCTAGTTTGAATGTAAAAGTCTGGACAATATATACATCACACAGGGTGAACAGTGAGTATTTCTGGAAGATGGAATTGTTAAATCGCATATTCCCTGCATTGCTTGAATTTCTTTTTATAAGGAGAAAGTATTACATTTTATTAATCAGAAATATAATAAATTTTTAAAGAAGTATGCAGCAATTCAGTTAATGAGAGATTTTGAGAGCATGAACCAAGTTGTCTATCTACCATTACATCCATAAAGTATCACTGAATCCAGAATTTAAAAGTACCTTAGTGGCTGCTCTTCATGGACACTATATGTCAAACACTATTGACATCAAAAATAATATTCAGCCCTTTTAAGAGTTCCACAGTATAATAGGGAAAATAATATAGACATATGAGATTATAATACATTGTGAAAAATACAAAAATTTAAATTAAATTATATGAGATCCTGATACAATATAGAAGAGAAAATTATTCATTATCTCTGGAGGAAATGAAAGTCAGGTGATCAGGAAATCTTTCAGAAGGTGCTGTTCAGGCTAGGTTTTAAAGAATATATAGGAGTTGGCTAATTGGGCAAGGGAAAAAGATATTATAGGTAATAATAGCTATCATTTATTGAGAGCTCTCCATGTGTCAGGCATTGTGCCAAGCAAGTTTCAATAACTATTTGATTTAATCGCCACAACAAGTTTTTGCGCTACTTACTGTCCCCATTTTACAGCTAAGGCACAGAAAGTGACCAGCTGATGAGTAGAGGTAAAGAGAATAGTGTATATAAATATAGCATGATATTAAGAATCATTGGAGTACAGTATGTGGCAGGAAAAGTGATGGTAAGTGAGATGAAAAAGAAAAGCTGGGCTAGATTACAAAAAGCAACTATATATGTTAGTGGGAGGAGGAACAAACTTTCCTCTCCCTTCAGGGTTCTGGCTGCCCTAATAACCAAAGAGACATGAGACAGATTAGCAAGAGAAAATAACCATATGTAATATCTACATATGTATGGGAACTTCGCATACAAGAGTCAGAGACCCCGCAGACATGAGAGTTTCAGAGACAGAAAGGGTGATTAAAGTACATAAGACATCCTGAGCTACGGATGAGGTAAGGTGTCTTGAGGCTTCAAAGGATCATGGCAGGATGGTAAGAAAATCAGACTTCTAGTAAAAAGAAGTTTGCCTTGCCCTATAGAGAGATCAAAGGAAGTTGTCTCTAATACTCTCTTATGGGCAAGGTCTCTAATTTAAATTCTTCTATATAATTAAGGGAGATGGACAGAAGTTTCTCTTGAGCCTGAGGTCAAAGTTGCCTTTAGCTTAAGACATTCTGCATACCACGGAGGCACATCTTGACCTGACTCCTTCTGGACCCCTAACCTAGGCAATAAAGAGTTTGCAAAGGATTTTAAACACAGTAAATGCAGGAGCACATTTAATCACCATAATATACAATCAACCCATATCCCAAAGATACGAGATTTTGCCAGTCTTTTCAGCTTCACCTCCTACCACAATGTGAACTTCATCCTTTATCCTAACCAATGCAATCTGCTGACAGTTCCTGACCTTTTCTCACGCCTCCTCCATACCTTTGCACATGCTGTTCCATGTGTCCCAAACTCATTTCTATTTCATTCACCCAGATACCTCCTTCAGTCCGTCTAAAATGTGTTCAAATTTTATCTCTCCTTAACACCAGGTATTTTTTAAAACTTGGTATAAAATTCAGGGATCCAGGAAATTACATCAAACTAAACCTCTAAATAAAAATTCAGCACATCCTATTATAAATGTAGGCCACAAACCACATAGTATTAGCAACACCTATGCTTTTGCAACCAGAAGAAACCACAGGTATTTCCGTATCACATTACAGTTGCTACCAAAATATCATTCACATTCATTGCTACCTCAAAATTATGTTAATAATTATGCCCACCACTAGATCTTGTTTTTAATAAGTTAATCAAAGAGCACATATATTACTAAATCACAAATTTGTTTTTAAAAAAATATTTCAATAGCTTTTTCATACACAATATTTCCTTTGTTAATCCAAAATATTGTATGCATTTAAAAACATTGTTCTGAAAAGGGGTCCCTAGGCTTCTGCCAGAGAGGTCCAAACAAAAGTTGGTGACTCCTTCTTAGGAGTCCTGAATGACACCTGCCCTTCCCTGCCCTTCTCTCCTATCCAACACCCCATCATTCTGAGTAAGGTGTCCCTCCTTTGCCTTCCTTCTGATTTCCCATTTTAACGTTTGCATCCCATCCCTCTCTGATATTCTTCTCTGCCTCCCTAACTAATCCGTTGAGCTCTTTGAGTATTGGAACTATGTTTATCACTGCTGTATGCTCAGTGCCTTACAGATAGTGACACAGTGCTTATTAATAATAATAAACAGTCATAGAATTAATCAAACATTAGAACATAAAACCCCAAAGTATCTGCAATGTACCAAGACAACTATAAACTAAGACACAAGACCCTAAATAAATTTAAATAATCCCAATCTGACTACACTGAAGTTGACGACTACTCTCGTGGATGCTTGTATGAGGCCCAAGAAGAGGTATGTAATTTTGGATTTTTTTCATTTACCAGTAAAAGTAAATTCATTTGAAACTGGTCTAAATTAAGGGGATTTATTGACTTCTATAACAAAAATGTGAAGAGATACGTTTTCAAGGGTGACCGCCTCCAAACCACATGTGAGTGTCTCTGTGACTCCCAGGGAGCCTCCCCGTTTCGAGTGTCCCCTGAAGGCCATCTTCCCTCAGGGACACAGATGGCCGCCAGCAGGAAAGGGGTCACGTGCATTCTCCCTCAGATCCGGAAGGAGGACCAGTGACCACACAAGTCAGGTGCTTGACATGGATAAGAGGACCCTCTCCAAACCTTGTGTCCAGGACAGTGTGGATTGGCTCAGGCCTAGGATGTCTACACAAATTCCTGCGGCGGAGTTTACCTTGGTCAGTTTTGCCCAGTTTGAGCACTCATTTCTGAGTGGGGTGGGGTGGGGCCAAGCCACCCAAACGGCAAAATAATTTCATGATGAGAACGAGGGTGATGGGGAAACAAACACAAGAGAAGTCAGGAAAAAGTGCTGCACCCAGAGACCTAAAATGAAATTTTACTTGGTAAAAAACAAACAAAAATACAGTATCACAGTGTCTTAGACTCAACATGATTAAATATATTGTGTTTTCAATTATATTACTGTGTAATGAATAAATAACTTCACTGTCAAGCAATATATTTACTTTTTATCCAAATGTTACCAATATAGAATTCAATCCAACAACTCAACTATGTAACTCAGTTATTGAATTTACTAGATAACACTCTGGTCCTATAGACTGCACTTATTAACCTCCCTCCTGGTGTGA